GATTTGATGTCTTCAACCTACAACTGACAGCTAAATTTCTCTCTCTCATCTACCAGAGATTCTTGGAAGTCTGAAGTTGTTTATTTTTAAAAAGAATGTAATAATGGTTATTTGAAGAAAATGACTGAGGTGATTGAATTCCTCAGAAGGCAGGCAGACCACGTGACCGAGGTACTTTTTAACTCCAAATTTCAACAATTCTGATAACAGCACAGTTACCCTTACTCTGTCATGGTGGGTTTTGGAACTTTTAATCAAGTTATCTGCAAAAGGGAGTCAAAGTGGAGCAAAAAAAATGAAAAGTCACACAGACTGAAATTCTCTAATTGTCTTGAGAACATTTTACAAATTTTAATTTAACTAAGGCAATAACCCTAGGAATGTTTTTGAGATAATTGAAAATTATCTTCTTCATCTCTACTGGCTTTTCCTATGTCCCCTTCTCACCATTAAATGCCTTTGACTCTCTCCCAGCTTTCCCCCAACAAACATAGCAACAAACCTGTGACTTCATCTTTAGATACCGGGGCCATCATTTTCCTGCCTGTTTACCATTCTCTGTACTCTCCCAAAAAAACTATTGACTCCTTGGCTAATCTGAAACTGATTCAAACTGAGATATTATGAGCTTTGTATGTTCTCAGCAGGAAAAAAAAAAAATTGAGATCAGGCCGGGGATTTAGCTCAGTGGCACCGCGCCTGCCTCACAGGTGCAAGGTCCTGAGTTCGATCCCCAGTACTGCAAAAAAGAAAAAAAAGAAAAAGAAAAGAAAAGAAAATTGAGATCATAAGTGGATGTGTTTTGCTTATTTAAAAGACTACGGCTGGGGATTTAGCTCAGTGGTTTCACCACCTGCTACGCAAGTGCAAGGACCCGAGTTCAATCCCTGGTACAAAAAAAAAAAGACTACATAAAAATTGCAAATAAGGTAAAAAAAAATGCCAATGAACATTAAATTCTCACAACTTTGGGTGATACATATGATTGTACTCATTTTCCTGGTGTGGAAACGGAACAGGCAGGCCTAGAGATTGCTCAAGGCTTGAGGATCCAAAAAGCTATCGACTTTGTTGCAAAGCATGTGTTTGGCTGCCATGCCTCTCTTCTCATGATGTCTTTCTCAGCTTTGAGAGATTTAATAAGATGATCTCTCCTGGGCAACTTTAAGGAGAAAAGGCATTTTGCCACCCTAGCTCCTGGTGGCCAACATGAAAATTAGAACACTTATATGACTGTGGCTATTCTGGAACACCTGACAAATGACTTTGAAAAGCCAAGTGTTTACCCACTTAAACACTAATCTTAAATGTACATGAAAATTTTCTTAAATGTATTTATGTAATTTCATTCCTTCATAAGGTGGATACTCTAAATATAATTTAGCCTTTAGCCTTTCCTTATATACTCAAGGTTTACCATGTGAACATTAGCTACAGTTAACAAGGCTGTAGACAGCGATGCCCTGGAGGACTGTGGAAGTACATAGGGCTGTTTTTAAACAACATTTTAAGTGGTCCCAGACTACTGTGCTATTTGAGTTCTTGTGTCTGCTTTTCATGGATTTTCTGCCATGTTCTCAACCTCTTGGTTACTGACTCCCAATGTTATTAGTACCTGTCTCTATTAGTCCTCCTTTGTCTAGTTTTGCTTCTTATAATTTGTGATGGATATGCCAGATATTTAGGCATATTTTATCTGAAAATACCCACTGAATGACTGAGGGGACTCCTAGTAAACATGGCATATGAATTTTAGTGAACTGAATTTATAACATCTATTTTAACTCTCTAATTCTCTGGGCCAATAATTGATGAGACTGTTAATCAACGGGCCACAAATATTCATTGGTACCTGCCTACTCACAATACCCTTTAAGGAAATTGTCTGGCTGCCATAGCACCTGCTTCTTAGATGGCCGTGTTTTGCCCTTAAAGGGATCCATCCACATCATCTACAGCACACGTGATTGGATGAGTGGAACCCAGACCCAAGCCTACCCAGACCACAGACTGGCCAACAACCATGATGAAAAGATGTGTGTGGCCAGTCCTAACTCTGGGGAATCTGAATTAGATAGTTGGAGTGGCATTTGAAACAACATTTGCAGCAGAACTGTGTCCCTTGAGGCCACCATGTATCTTGTGCCACATGAAGTGACGAAGCAGCAGAATCTCTAAGATAGCCAGTAGGAAGAAAGAGAAGGAAGCAAATGCATGGGCTGAGATGAGTGTGTGTGGGCAGGAGGGTTGTCCATGTGTACCTTTACTTTGAATACCATTTCTCTTGGGGCAACTTGAGTGAGTCTCTGTATCTCTCTCCCAAAAGAAGCCAACTATGGGGGCCAGGGATTTAGCTCAGTGGTTCCACCACCTGCCTCGCAAGCGCAAGTTCCCCAGTTTGATCCCTGGTACCAAAAAAAAAAAAGCCAACTATAAAATTTAACTTCTTGAGAGCTGAATTGTGACTTCTTATATAACTTCCTATATTTTCTGGACCCAGTGAAACCAGAAGAGCACAGAATAACGATGCAAGAGAAATAAAAGAATTCATAATGAAAGCCAGAATTAAACCAAAAGACAAGAGTGCATATGAAGAAAAAGACAACAGCTCATAGTTATGCCAAAATAGAGGACCAGCATCCTTTCTAGCTTAAATAACCAACTCATCAACACAGAAGCAAAGATTAAGCATCTACATGATGAAAATGTAAAACAATCAGAAGAAAACCCTTGAGCCCGGCTGAAGTTCTTTTTTAATTAAGCAATTACAACTTGCATACAACACCTGGTTACCTGTGGAGGGGTGTGGATGTGAGTGTGTGTGCATGCACATGTGTGTGGCATTTCACGGGGGGGGGGGGGGGGATACAACCTCCCTTGAGGTCTTACAGCAGCCTATATAAAGAGGCACAGCTAGACAGCTGCTCCCATGGGAGCCCATCGGGAAGAAAACAGACTGGAGGCAGACAGTTACAGAAATGAGCCAAACAAGAGGCTAAGAATCATTTCTCACCCATTGCTGATGTCTCTGGAGAATGTGGCTCAGTCAATGCTTTGTTATCCACACAGAGGAGAGTGAAGCTGTTCTCACACCATTAGGGAGCACACCCAAGGTCAGAATCGGGGAGATGACACACATCTTTCCTATGCACCACAGGCTCTGGCCTCCAGGAGTTTCTCAGCAATTGTCCTGGCCACCAGGCTGGGGAAGGCAGGTGGGGCTGCACTCCAGCCAGGTGAAGCCCAGTGTTCCAAGGGGGTATTGATAGAAGACAGGTAGAGGCTGAAAGGAAGCCAGGGCATTGTCATTGGCATTGGAAGAGAATAGATCAAATCAGAAGGGCAAGATAGTAAATGAAAAACAGTAGCAAGACTGGTGCCTAAGAGAGATGAGAACAATACACCAAAGGGTTAGGGATCCAGGGCTGAATTAATCAGGTTGCTACCTGGAAAACAGAAAGGCTATGCTGGAGGCACCAACTCAGACCACCTCAAGGAACCACAGTCAGGGCCGCCTGAAAACCGTCCTGCCTGCCTAAGATCGAGAGTTCAGGGCTAGAGATAAAAGAAGGAAGAGGAAGAGAAGGGAAATGGGATGGGGAAGACAAAGATGGGCAGAGAGATGGGGGAGAAAGAAAGAGATCATTTAACAGAGCAAACTGGCATTGACAAAATGTGATCAAACAGTTAATATCTTCCCCCCAAAACTTGTTTCTAATAACAAAACAAAAATCACCACTAAAACCTAGTTGAGGTACCCCACATGAAACAAATATGAGGGTTTTACAAGATCATAATTAATAAGTCAGTAACCTTTTATCCAGATTCTGGGAACTAAATTTGTACAACTTATGGTAGCTTAGCTCATTCCCTCCCCGCAAGCCCTGTCACAGCATAAAATGGGGAGGAAAGCAGGCTCACCGACCTACCTGCCGTAGGCTCTGAGAGGCCTACTTTCAAAGAGGACTGCTGAAGGTCTAGAGGAAGCAAGGATGAGGCTGAGAAGGAAAGAAGCTAAGGGAAACTCTGGCCCCAGGACACCCTCTTGAGTAGGACAGAAGTATGTGGGTTCTTCCCCCAGACACAGACCTCATCCTCAGCCCTGGAATGCCTGACCCTTTAGAGCATCTGACTGGCTGGCTATGGCCTCCTTCTTGAAGCATTTCTTTCTCAGATCCTGGGATAGTATGCTTGCCTGAGTTTTCTCCTTTTTCTTCATTTATTCATGGCTGTTCATTCTGAAAATCCTTTTTTGAGCCTGGTCACCAACTTCTAGGCTCAAGTGATCCTCCTGACTCAGGCTCCTGAGTACTGGAACTATAGCTGTGTGCCACCACGCCTGACATGTATGAAAAATTTCAAACATTTATAAAAGTAGAGAAAATAATACAATAAGGCCCTTTGTCCATCAAGGTTCAACAACCTTCAATTTGTGGCCTGTCACATTTGCCCTGGAGCTCTGTTCACTTTCCTGTTCCTACGGATTATTCCGGAGTGAATCCCAGTCCTTGTACCAGCTGTGAACATTTCATTTTGCATCCCCAAGGCTCCCTTTCAGAAATCATAACTCAGTTTCACCAGTCATACCCCCAAAACAATCCTCAAGAGCACCAGGTACCTCAGCAGTATTCATGTCTCCCCATTGATTTGATAAGGAGCCTTTCAAAAATGGTTTATTTGTATGAACAGGATCCAAATGAAGTCTATACATTGTTATTGCTTAATATCCTCTCTTGTCTTTTAACTTATACATTTTCTCTCCATATCTTTCTTTTCTTACAATTTTTCTGTGTGGTGTCCACAGAATAGCCTAATGAATTGTTGGATCTATTTGTAATGTTAGAAGCCATTAATAATCATTGCCTAATGATTACTTCTGTTATTCAGCAAGGAGTTGCCAAGTGTCATTCCTCTCGTTCCTTGTTCACTTACTAGCTATAATACTACAAAAAGAGCCTTCTTTCATCAGCTGTTTGGTGACTGAGGCACTGTCCCTACAGAAAGCCCGCCTGCCTGTTGGCCCCAGCACCACTGCCCGCTAGCTGTGCACCCATGGGCAAGTCATATGATCGCTCAGTACTACTTTTCCAGCTATCTGTGGGAATGATTGCTGCTGGAAGGAGATTATGCACATCAAGCTCCTGACAGGTAAGCGTCTCATAATTGAACTGTTATCCCTACTTTCTTTGTTAGAGTAAGGATTTCCTCAGCAGCGCCCAGTAGGCACCCCTCAAAGATACTGAGCAGGGTTTGGCTTTTCATCACTTGTCACTTCTATGGGCTGATTGCACCCATCAGCAGAATTGTCCAGAAGGAGAACCATTTCAGTGCACGGAGGTTGTTCCTGATGTGGATGACAATAATCAGCAATTTGCTCTGCAGAGAGGGCCCAGAGAAGACACATGGGAGCCAGCGATGGGATTGCAGTGAGGTAAGTGCCAGGGTCATCTGGGGCCTGGACCGTCCTGCCTCCCCCTAGGGAGGCACATGTATCCCTCCTCCACAGTGCTCTTCCTCTGGAACTCTTATTAGGAATGTATGTTCTCTTCCTCTGGTTTCGGCAAGTCAGTAAATGAATTTCACTCTATTGTCAGAACAGGTGGCTACTTGTTTACAGCAATAGGAATTTATAAGGCTTTGTAAAAACCATTCAGGCATATTTAGGGCCTAATCGTATCCATCTCAAAATTGACTCTGGGTTTGATGACTCCGTATTTCTCTTCATGTTAAATCTTTATGATGTCTCTTCTATCTTCTTAATGGTCCCTACTTAGCAGAGGATCCTTGAGTATTTTGGTAGAAGTTGTAAAATAAGCCATTTTTAAATCAGTCTATATACATTGTAAAAGTAAATCTTATTTTGGTGGATCAACCCTAAAAGATGAGATTCTGAGGTTTTAGGGGGAGTCTGTGCTCTCCCAAGGAGTGGACAACTAAGTCCTGTGGAGAGATGATACTCATGCAGAGCACTTCTCTCTGAGGGCTGGGATAAAATGTTCCTCTCTCTCCTCAGTACCCAGATTAACCCTTCAATGTCTCCATTTCCATCTTTGGAGCATCCATGAAAATGGAACATAATGAAATTTTTTCTCTTCAAATTCTTTTTCCTTGAATTTTTCTAGGTAACATATGTAAGTTTCATGCAAAAATTCAAAAAAAAATGTTTAATCTTCAGTATAAATGGGTTAAGAGGTTAGACTGTGAAGCATAAGGAATCTTATTAGCTGTTCAACCCTAAGCAAGCTACTTCTTCTCTGTGAGCCTTAGTTTCTCTGCTTGGATAAAAATTGTTGATGCCAGGCATGGTGGTATACACCTGTAATCCCAGTACTTGGGAGGCTGAGGTAGAAGGAATGCTGCAAGTTCAAGGCCAGCCTGGGATAACAGTGAGTGCAAGGCCAGCCTGCACTATATAGCAAGACTATCTCAAAAAAAAAAAAAAGTTGTTGTTAATGAGGATAGAGTCAGATAATATAGGAAAAGCCATTGTGTCTGACAAAGTTTAAGGACCTAGTCATTGTTAGCTATTACTGTTATTACAGTTATTACTAGATTCTGGCCTTGATTAGCCAAGTGTTACATTACTATTTTTATGTGAAACAAAATTTAGTTGGAATATTGCTCAATGACAGAATACAAATAATAACTAGATGGATCTCAAGGACGTTATGATGGAGTGAAAAAGTTCAGTCTCAAAGGGTCATATCATATTTCTATCCATTCATTTAACATTCTCAAAATTACAAAATTATAGGGATGGAGAACAGATGAACGGTTGCCAGGGTAATGTTAGGGATGGTGGGTTGGGTGTGTGACTGTGAAGGGTCATGATGAAACAGTTCTGCATCTTGATTGTTCTGGTGATCACATGACTACAAGTGTGGTAAAACAACATAGAACTATACACACACAATGTACCAAGGTCACTTTCTTAACTGATACTTTATTGTTACATAAAATGTAACCACTGGAGTAAGGTACAGGAGACCTTTCTGTACTCTCTTTGCAATGTCCTATGAATCTATACTTATTTCAAAATAGCAAAAAAAAAAAGTGTGTACTTACATAATCAACATATGCCTTACACTGGGCCATATAGTATATGATGATAACACTTCCTTTCTTGTGGAACATTTTCCCCCAGATGTAAAAATTGCCTTCTTTTACTTACTTTGGTTTGCTATGTACCTAGCACTAATTCTTCCCAATGTTAGAACTGCAAAATCCCCCCAGAGCAATTGAATACCTGAGGAAGCCCATCAGTTTCATATTTTAATTAGTGACATCTTTCCCCAAACTCCTCCCTCCAACTCCAGTTCAGACCTGCTGTTCTCTGGGCTGATTCTGGACCCATTTTTATTGGAAAGTATTTGGTAGTCTGTACCCCAAAGACTTAAATTGTGTTTTTTACAGGGTTCTGACATTTCAGAATATGTAATTTTTCTTTTTTGCTTGCCTGTATTCTCTAATACTGCTTCAAGCCACTGCATTATGCCATTATATCCCTTGTGGAATGAGAGAGGAGGGGATAGAGTCCAGGAACAAACAACAACAACAACAACAGAAGGTCTTCCTTTCAGCGGCGTAAAGAGGTACGCGGGACCCCAGGGAATATTCCAGCAGGCCCATGCTCTTATCCAACTGACACAGTCTCTACCAGGTGCTGCTTGGAGGCTGAACTGTGCCCCATCTGCTCTTAATCTTGACACTTCCGGTGCACATGAGGCCAGGGCTCTGGTCCTATGTGCTCAGTGGGTACTTTAGGGTCACCCTCACTCAGGCAGCACCCTCTCATTCCCACCAGCCCTTGTCTCCCTCCTCCAAAGCCCTTAGACATTTACACCCTCTGTGTCTCACCTCCCTCAGGCTCCAGCCCCAGCTACCGGTCATTTTCAGCAAAGCCATCCTGCAGCCGGGTGGGGAAAGGGCAGGAGGGAGCTTCAGAGCTCAAGGATAGAAGAAGGCAGAGCAGAGGTCACCATGGAGGTGTGGCCCCAGAATGGAATATTTGAACAATGAGCAGACCTATCTCATTACTAAATTTAATCTCATTTGGATTCTCTCACATTTTAGTAGACCCAAGAGTCTCTTATCTCCTTCCCAGACTTAGATTATTTTACAAAAAGTGATCTATTAGGTATCAGAAAAAGAGGGGGAAAGGAAATTTCACCAAACTTGGGTAAAAGAGAGTGAATAGGAAATATCTGGGCTAGAAGGGAGGAGGCTGCTCACATCTGCTGAGGGGTGAGCATACTTTCTCTCAAAATGAAGCGTGACCCAGTGTGTGGCACCTATGGGACCCTGCAAGTGCAGCGCCCATCTGCTGTGGCTTCGTGCTGACCCTCAGAAGCACCAGTGCGTGCAACAAAGTCCCAAAGAAAAGAGCTTTCAATGCAGCCTATCAGATGATAATAAGCCTTGTTGCCTCAGAAAGTCTGAGCCAAAACCCACCAAATAAACCATAGAGCAATCTTGGTGATTTTACTGTTGCAGGTTTTCTGAGAGTAGATTTGCAGCCTTCTGACACAACAAAAACACATTTAACAAGTTTCCCAATTCCCCTGGCTGGACTTGTTTTATGTTTAAGACAAAGCTAATAGCAATATTTCAGGTAAATCATTCTCCATCTCCTGTAATCTTTCAAGGACTTGGAATGTATTAAAACACTTCCCATGAACATTATTTAAAAAATGATCTTCTATCGTACAGCTCACCATCTAATGAGATATTTTTTCTATGTCCATCCCATAGTTCCTCTTAACAAAATGCCATGATTTAAGTGCGGAAGGCTCTGGAACTCCCTTGGCAAATTAAAGTGTTTTTCAATTTGCTCATTTGATTTAAGAAATAGTCTGGGTAACCTGTGTAGAAGACATATCAAACCCTCACTTAATATATGGTATGTTTCCTTAAGTGCATAAAAGACCTTGGAAATTCTTAATTTAATGAAAATTGTTCACCCTGGCAAGATACCCGGCACAGATAGCCAGCAGTGACAGCTGAAAGCAAATCCATGTATTTGCGTAAGACAAGAAGAGCTATGGAGGCAGAACAAGGGCTGGGTACAATCCCAGAATCTAATTATTAAAGTAGGGATAGAGAGAAAATCTTTTCACCATAAATTGATAGTTTGTGTAAAAAAAAAAAAAAAAAAAGTCTCTATTAGGTCTCACTCTTCTCTCTCTTTCTCTCTCTGCCACTTGCAAAGACAAATTGTTAATGACAAAAATGATTCTGGTTATTAAAAAAAACAAACAAACCAGGAAGTCAGAGCCTAATGGGCAAATGTATGAATCACAGGGAAGAGTTGAACTATTCATTATTTCTTCAGTTTTATTTTTGCACCAAAGTTGTTTCTTTAATGATGGAACAATGTTACTAAATTAAGAGACCTTAGGCCTCCTGTGTTAGCCAAATATCTTTAAAAATAACACAGAATTCATTTCCTCTCTCCTTTTCCTCAGTCTTCTCTTCCTCCATGCAAGAAAGCCTCTTGGACTCTCCAAAAAAGTGTTAAATCTCTGCTCCTTTTTCTGAATTTAACAAAATGGTGGTCTGGTTTTTATCTCTTTTTTTTTTCCTGTTTTGTTCTTTTTATTTTCTTAAAATATTTTAATTATATGGGCTATCCAAAGCAACTTTAAATTGGGTTTATCTCCATGGAGGTAAGGATGGGCAAAGGGGGGCTTTTTAACTTTACTTTCTTTAGCACTACTAAACTTTGGCTTTATATAAGCATATGCTCATTTTATAATTTAAAATTTTTTCTGATTACACACTTGAAATAGCCAAAGGGCAGAGACACGATTTTTTTTCTGATTAGAAATAGTGCATGTTTATACAGATAGTCTGTAAAAGAGAAAAAAGAAAGATGTAAATGCTATTTATTGTCTCACTCCTCTGTGCCACGTGAGGTCATCAACAGTGTGGACCTCATCACACCTCCTGGGAGGGACCCTTCAAGTTCCTACTGGGTGGAAGGGGGAGAAGAAATGGGCTTCCAATTAGGAAAAATGATATGTTGGGGTACAGAAGCTAAGAATAATCCATTTTCTTTCAGCCTCACCTTCCTGAGACTTTCTGAGCTTCTGAGAAGCAAATTGCCACGCCACTTCATCCCTACATGGCTACCTGTTCCCTGAACACTTGGTGGTCCTCTTTTTGGTGTGTCAAGTCTGTTCATTGTTTTCTTTCAAGTTTCTGAAGTTTTGGAAGCCTATCACATGTGCTGTTATCTTCTCTCCTGTTCTTGAAGCCTTCAGAGATTTTGTCATTTTTTATTTTATTCATGGAATTTTGTAGAGTTTCCCAAATGGGTACAGGTAGTTGCATTCAACCAGGAGTGCCCATATACTGCTTGAAATGTTTAACAATATTTTAATGATTGGATAATAATTCTTTAATATAAATGTGCCATGATTTATCTAACTTCATCTTTTGTGTGATTTTGCCTGTGTTATTTATTTCCTTTAGATAAAATACTAAATACAAACTTGTTGGACCTAAGAATTTGAACAATTTAAAGACTCTTTGCAGATACTCCTACACACTGGAAGGTTGTCCATTTATCTGCCCCAGAAGGTCATGAGAGTGCTCCTTTCCCACTCCCTGTGGTTTCCTGCCGTGCCTCTTGATGCTCCACCTTCTCCTGAACTGTCTCTCCTTGAAGAGAGGCCACCATTCTTTACGACTTCCTCCCTTGGGAGCCTGTTCCCTACCCATAGCTCCTCTGGGGCTCACTCTGAGCTCACCTAACCAGGATCGGACTGTACTCTCGAAACATCCTGCAGGGCTCCTTTCCAAGGTTCCCAATATGTGTTCAGCCTGGATTTTCATTTTGGCTTTTCGGTATAGAAATCTTCCTTGGGACACTGGCTCTTTGCTCTTCAGCCCTGTTACCTCTGCAGCTTATGCTGTGGTATTTGCTGTTGAGCTACTTGGTGGGGGAATGAAGAGCTGTACTTTAATCTCATTAGTCTGAATCTCAGAATCTCTTAGGCAATCGCATGACTAAACCTGCCTGTGGGTTTTGTTGGTCTGTTTTCGGTAAGAAGAGGGCTTGACAAGTTCAAAAATTAGACAAATGCTCTGTGTTTTTTGAAGGGCAAAATGCTCTTATTTTTCAAGCTCCTAAGTTTTTCACTGTCTAAACTGATTGGCTTGAGTATATTTTAGCAATGAGGGAAGAGGTACTTGGTCAGTGCGAGTCCAGTTTGGACTCTCCCTCACCTAACTGGACAGCACAAGGACGCCCTGGGGACATTCCTCCATGCTCCTAAACCCTGGCTTCAAGTAAGGACCTGAGAGTCTTCCATGGGAGCCAGACTTCCCTTTGCTCGTAATTGTATTCTTCCAGTGAAGAAAGCACCACCAAAATACTACATCCCTGACACCTAAATTCACAAAACTGTGTTCATTATAATTTCAGCTTCTGAGCCGAGGATTTAGCTCAGTGGTTCTGGTGCCTGCCTCGCAACCTGAGGACCAGAGTTCGATCCCCAGTACCAAAAAAACAAAAAACAAAAAAAAATTTACTTAATTTCAGCTTCTGTTTGTGGTACTAGGGTACCCAGGCCTTCACACTGAGCTACATCTTCAGCACATTTTTTTTCATTCTGTACTTGTTTTCTTCTTAAATTCTTTTATTGGTACATTTTAGGTATACAATTTGTTTACATTTATCATTGGGTGCTTCTACCTGTACATGATGCATCTTGGGTCTTATTTTTTCCCCATTCCCTGTGCTCCCTTCCCTATTTACAAAGACTTT